GTGAGTCAGTCTATGTGAGTCAGTTCGTTATCAGACTTCCGCTGCATACATGCTCATCCTATATTGGTTGATCTTTGGTCCTGCCCATACTCATTGAAGTATGTAACATACTCACTTGAAGGTCCCAGCACAGGACTCAGATCAAGAACACGGGAAAGCGTCAAGTGTGGGTATATCAGGTACATTTTCTGACTTGCCGGTGGACTGATGCTCCCCAGAATGGATATGTAGCCGGGCCCATAACGACCGGTTTGAGGGGGAGGGGGGGGGGAAAGAGAAAAGGAAAAGGGTCAGACTTTCAGAAAGGCTTTAAACCGCCAGTACACGGCCCCAGCCTTGCTGAAAAGAAAACTCGTCGCCTACAAAAATTTCGGAGGCCGAGCGCCGTACATAAATTGAACCGGCGGCGGGCGGCCTCGGCCTCCGAAAAGGGCTCGCGGCTGATAGCTGGATGTACTGGTGGTTTAAACATTGTAGGGAATCTGTGTCAAATAGAGGTAGAAATGCAGTGACTGCTTGGAAATTAGGAAGAAAAAATAAAGGAAAAGAAAGAAATAGAGCCACTGTTCTCTGCACATACCCCAATTATGAACGCTTCCTTTTATCAGTTCAGGCGTTTAACTGTGGAGCACTGGTGAAGGCCTGGAAATGGAGGCGAACGAGTTGCGCCTCAGAGCACTTGACGGCAAAGACGAGCGATGTTGAGCGAGCACTTTTGGGTGCACTACATTTCAATCAACGAGTGCAGAGTCCACGGCCATGTTGGGAATGACCCTCATGCCCCTTGAGCAACAGAAAGGGAGAGGGGAGCAGACTGAACCACCCCCAATTAGGAGAAGCAGAGAACATGATGGGGATCTAGATAATGGTTGTTAGATGCCATCAGAGACAAACCCGCCTGGATTCTGATGCTCTCTGATCCAGAGCCATCGACAACGAAACCAGACAGCTTTCCGCTACACGGGGTGAGTGCGTGTATATATTATATTATGACTTGCTGGGGGGAAAGGAACCGAACTGACACTCCGCATAATTGACAAGGAGCCAGGACCGTAAGTACCTGTTTCAGAATTGAGGAGGCGGGGGGGGGCGGAGGAACAAAAAAAAAAACAGATCCACAATAGTGAGGAGAGTACTGAGAGGAGAGAGAATTGTTTGTTAGGGGGCGCTGGAAGAGCATGGAGGGAACCATACAATGAATGTCTAGGGGAGGGGCCATCAAGGTGGGCTCCAGGGTGAGGGTTAACATTGGGGAGCTCTCCATCATGGGCTTCAAGACCTATCCCACCCTCAACCTGTCAGGAATTGGTAAAGAGAGAAAAAAGGAAAGAAGGGTTGCAGCTACCTATGGGAACAGAAAGATGATATTGACCTCTTTTAGCGCAGTGTGTGCCATGATAATATTTGTGCTGCTGCTGGACAACCTTGCAGCAGACAATGCCGGCGAAGGGGATGAGCCAGTTTCAGCAGAAGTCAATGGACATGATACACCCAATGCTGCCATAAGGATACGGTGAACAAGCACATCTGCATATCTTCGGATCGGAGACGTGAAATGGGTGTAGTACCTGCATTTCCAGTCCAAAATCAACAAGAATACAATACACAAAGAGAACTTAGCAGTCGCTAGATACATGTTAAGAGTACAAGGTGGTCAAGCAATCTGGTAAAAAATCATCAAAGGGAATACGCACACTACTACCCAAAAAATTATCAATGTAACACTAGGATGTTCTCCGGGCCTGACTGACCATAATTACAGCCCAATCCAGTCCAAAAATGTCCTCGGCCCGAAACATCATGTTCTTTTATGTTTCAAGTATGAGCATTATTCCACAAGTTCGAATGTTACAAAAACTGTCCAAAAAGCCAAAAAAATAAATAAAAACATCTAGGCTACCAGCCCGGCCGCCCGAGTCATCCTATTTTCCCGGACGGCCCGGTCGTGCAAGGACCAGGGAAGGTCCTAGCAAAAAAAAAAAAACAAAAAAAAAAAAACATGTTATGCAGAAAAATAAACTGACCAACTTTTGCCTCAGAGTCACATCGAAATTCTTTACCAATTAAAAAAAAAATAAAATTATTATTTTATTTATTTATTTATTTATTGGCCCAGCTGGGCAAGTGGCCCTGGGCCACTCTGGTAGCCTAGAATTTTTTTTTTTTTTAAATGATTTTTTCTGTCCAACAGAGTTAAAATGTCAATGTCTGGGAGATTCATAAAGTATGAATGATGACATTCATTGCAGAATCCTGACCATCAAAAGCAGACTGCTGGTACCTGTCAAACAGAACAATAGCACACCTACATTCACTGATGCTAAGTACAAACACCCAACCTCCAACACAAGGCAAGAAATTGGCGAACTCCGAAAGCTACTCCGAATAGGGTTTTATACTATTTATAGTGCT